CAATATAAGCCTTCAATTAAAAGAAAAATTTCATGTGTTTTCATGAAAATTGAATCAGTGCATCTTTATCAAAGACTTCACAGTAAGGGATCTTTCTGTAGTACCTTAGTAGTTATCATTGAAACACAAAAATGAGAAAGAGGTGTCGGAGCAAATTTCACTCCTATCCCGGTGCTTAGAGAGAAGACATTGTTGACTCTGATACTCAGGCATGCTGCTTCCTGCATTCTTGCTTCCTGCGCTCAGCAACCTCAGGATTCCTTTATCAGGTGGCCACCTTAGATCTACTCTAAGGTGTTTCTCAACCCCTTTGTGATCTTGTTTCCTTCCACCTTCTAGCCAACCCCATCCTATGAGTTGACTTTCCAGTGTCAAGCCATGGATATCAATTTAAGTGATTCTCAACTGTGTCCCCTGGCAGGGGTGGGACTGGGGGCATAACAGAAATCACATGTCCGGATTTACAAAACCTGTACTAGAGGTTTCTTGCCTTAAAGGACCTGCAGGAATATGAGTTACAAATGAAAAGTCACAGGGAAAGTTTCATTTCACGTTTTGACTTGGGTTAAATTCTGACTCCTGGGAACATAAATGAACTCCATACTTGGAGGAGAAGGAAGAATGGTGGTGAGGTAGCACCACATATAGCAGGTGCTGATTGTTTGCTTTCTAGAAGTTACAAACACATCACACTTGTTCTTTTCTAAATGCACTATTATTTATTTATGCAACTGTTATTGACTCCTATGTTGTATGTCTTAGATTAAAACTGGATTCATTATATAATTGGATGCCAAATATAATATGGCTCCCACAAAATGGTTCCATCTTTGTCACAGTTCTAGTCATGATGTTTAAAAATTACCAACTCTACAAATTTAAAGCCTGACTTAACAGAAAACAGGCTGGGTTCTAATCCCATTTTATAATCAATAGGAATATAAATAAAAACTATACATTGATTATTTGAGGGATTTTATAAAGAACTTTTATAAAATAATGAATTTTATGTTAACATGCATGTTAAATTCAGTTAATATAGAGCTAAATTCAATTATGCCATTCTAAAGACTAGAACCAAAGTGGAAGAATTTATCCTTTTATTTCATTATATTCTCTACATTTAGTAGAATTAAAATTTCCTTTGAAATTAACATTTTGTTCTAATTTTTGTTGTTCAGTATCACTCTTTTACCATTCTTACCAATTATTTCTCGATTAAAATACTATACCTAAATTATCTCACAGAACAGCACTGAGAATTAGTGCTAGTCAACAGAAATGTAATTTTAAAATATGTGTAGCTTAACTTTTTCTGGTTCTTCCAATTAATAAATATTGGACAAAATTTTAACTGTGAGATACACACTTACAAAGTTGTTCAAGATTAGATTCAGTCATACAATGTTCCATCACCTGTCCCTTCACCAGAGTATATTTCCCTCCACCAATGCCCCCAGTTTCCCTCCTGCCCCTCCTCCATGTCACCTACACTGTGGCAGACACGTTTCTCCTTCCTTCCTTCCTTCCTTCCTTCCTTCCTTCCTTCCTTCCTTCCTTCCTTCCTTCCTTCCTCCCTCCCTCCCTCCCTCCCTCCCTCCCTTTCTCCCTCCCTCCCTCCCTCCCTCCCTCCCTCCTTTCTCCTCTCTCTCTCTCTCTCTCTCTCTCTCTCTCTCTTCCCCTTCCCCCTTTGGGCATTATGGTTTTAATACAGATACTGAAAGATAGCCATGTCTGTTGCTTTACCTACACTCAGTTTTTGTCCAGATTGATCATTTCTGACTGTCTTTGGCATAGTGGTCCCTTCTCTATCCTAGTTGACTTCTATATTGGGAAATTTTATATTCGTTAACTTTATGTACATGCTTCAAATAAGATATGTATTTTACACTTACATAATATCTAAATTCAGGTTAATTATAATAAAATTATGTTTTATAATTATATTAAAATATATATGTTGCCAAATGTAGTAATGACTAATGATATAGATCACATGGGTTGATATTATAAGTTATTTTCTATTGAAAATAGCCTTTTTATGAATTTCACAATCATCAAGACAGCAATATATAGATAGCTGAAATTATTTTATCTTAAACTTGATATAAGTACATCTCCTACTAGTAATGAATTAGACATTATTATCTAATGAATTAGAAATTTGAAAAAAATATGGGGGTAGTCTCCCTCTAAATCTATAACATGATTACTTTGAAAACTCAATTTTCTCTATATAATAAACAGAAACTAAATCCAAATGCATAATTTTTCTTACCTTCAATAATGATGAAAACAGCATATAATGAAAAAAATTACTTTTAAAATATCTATAAGTGAAAGCTATTTTTAAATGCATAATGAAAATATTTTATAAGAAGTTATAAGAAGCTGATTACAGCTACTTTATATCATATGACCAGTAAAATATCATCAAAATATATTTTACATTTAAAATTTTATTACTCTGTATGTTGGATCAATGTACCTAGATTTTGTAAAAGTAAAAACAAACATGAGTAAATTATGAACAACTGAGAAGATCTTGGAAAAAACTGATTTAATAACTGCATAATAAAGAACCATAACTTATGCTGATATGAGGATTTAAAATTAGAGAAAGATATGTTACAACCTTACTACTTATTGACAATTTTTTTATTTTCAGCAGTATTTTAATTTCTATCTGTATCCACCAACATGTTCTTATTAATAGTTAAGATGTGTGTTTCTCCAAAACAGGAAAAGTCAAACATAATTCTCCAGATTCCTGGTATATCCTCTCATTTGCCTCTAAAAAAAAGCAGTGCCTAGAATAATACTTTGATTTTAGTATTTTACTTTTTTTTAAATGAGTGCAGAACCTCTCATGAATTTATAAGCACAATAAAGTTTTGTTACCTGAAACATCTAGTATCTACATTCCTATAATGCTTTAGGTGCTTAAAGATGTTGGAAGACTGGATCTTGGGAAGTGGTTATTTTATAACAATGTAATCAACTATCATATCAAGATATTATGCAATTTTCAACCCCTCAACTGACACTTCTGCCTTTCTGTGATCAGTGATTCACTTTGCCATGCTTAGTACGGGTATAAGTGATACTGTTTATGAAAACACTTCAGGAAGGTGACCAGTAATAAGTTAAGAACGTAGTTGGGAGTCAGTGGGATAGAACAGTAGGTGAACATTTGCTTTTCATGCAGCCAACCTGGGTTTGATCCCCAGCACCACATATGGTCCCCTGAGTACCACCAGCAGTGATCCCTGAACACTGAAATGGGAGTAAACCTGAGTATTGCAGGGTATGGTCCTCAAAACAAGCAAAGAAGCAATCAAATACAGAGTTGGCAAGGGTTTGAAGATATAAGTTTTAAGAAAAAAATGCTAATTTGGATCTACAGTTGAGTAGTTGCATTGTCCAAGTCCATTATCGACAATCCCAAATTTAGTGTCAACAAAGTGACAGGATGGACTCATATTTTTCTTTTCCAAAATCCCCAAGATAAATATTTGCCTCATGCTTCTCTAAGGAAATAAGGAAAAAGACTATGTCTAGGTTTGATTTCTTACAGAAATCAAATTATATGCAAATTTTTAATTATGAATTTTTAGATTAAAATGAAAACATACTAAATGCAACTTTTCAATTTAAAATCAAATATTTTATTTTGATAAAATTAGTGTTAAATTTGATGTGTGAGCTTTGAAAAATATTTAACATTATCTCTTCTTATTACTGAAAAAATACTCAAAGACCTTCCAAGTTAGAAACATGTTAATTGATTTTATTGACATTCCAAACATTATGTGCACATTTAATGAATCAGCATCCATCATCCTCTTACAGATTAATTTTAAGAAAGTTATATAGATTGTAGTATAAGGCAACTATAACTAAAAGTTATTTTTAGGCACTAAAGCAGTGTAATCATAAGCATCTCATTTCTCTTACTAGCCTTTCCACTCCATTGATTTGAGCATATGAACCATAAAACCCCATCAATATCTACTTTATTGTGGTTTTCTTCTGCCTGGTCCACAATAAGCTGAGATAAAATATTTTCCATCATTACATTATGTTGGTTTGTGGATGCTGTTAGTTAAAGGATGACATAACAGCATGTTCATAAGCAGCGACACATGGAGCTTATGTTCCAAAGCTCCATTTCCAGGCCACAACATATGAATCTATGTTTTCTTTATTGATTGACAACTCAAGCCTCATTAACATTCCTATCTCAAAAAGTTAAAAGAGATTTACAGTTTTAAAATGTAATAGAACTCTAAAAGTAGATGGGGAGTACAAACTAAATAAATGCCCCACTCAAGCTTAGTCACTTCTAGGTGAAATATTTCAATAAGGGATGGGAAAAGTTTAGAAAGAAATAAATATGAAAACCAACTAAAGTTACTGGAATCTATTATACAGTAACATACTGGAGAGCCACCAGAGAACTTAGCTTTGTGACAGAAACTCCAGACACAGAAAATTAATAGAGCCTGTGGGGCATAAACTAGAAACTGCACAAGATATCAGAGAATATTAATCATAGCACTAGTGAGAAATTAATAAAGCTGATTAGAATTTTAGAAAATAGATATTGATAGTAATAAGACTGAGCTTTGAAATTATTTTTATTGATAATTTTATGGGATGATAACAAAAAGTAAAAGAATATTCTTGGATTAATAGAGTAACAATTGACCAGAACCCAACAATAGACCAAAACTGCATCCACCTTAAATACAAATTAAGTTATTACATGAAATTTACAATATAAAGATACAATTACTAAATTTATATTTAATTTTAAACTATTTTCATATAATAGCTCTATATTTTAGAATATTTTAAAAGGTCAATTTCATTGTCTATTTTGACTTTATATATAACTTAAACTTTGAATATACAATTATAATAGTATAACTAAATAAAATTAATTATTCACTAATCTACATTAAGCAATAAAACTAATCTATAATTCTTTTATACTGTACCTATGATATTATAATTATTATTGGTAACAAAAGGAATCTTTATTACATCATAACATTTTAAACAAAAAATTGGATAAGCAAATTCCATTACAACATTTCAATGATTAATTTTCTGGAAGGCATACCATACAAACAAACTGCAGAGCTATATTTTACAGATGAGAAATAAAGATAATGTCTCCAGAAAGTAAAATTGAGAAATACGTATAATATGAAATTATATTATATAAATGAAATAATAGTAGTTTAAGACTTTGTACCCATTTGGAAACATGATTATATAGTCACAGATTTCTTAGAAAGAAATGGTTTGTCATATGTTTGGAATGCTGGAGCTTGATGGATTAGTTTGACGTTTTCGTCATCCTTTTGCCACTTCCCCATCCACCACTGAGCTGTACAGGATTGTCACGAAATGATATACGTTCTTTCTTTGTTGGTCTGGTATTTGTAATCTTTGGTGCAAGCACTCCCTTAATTGAAAAACCTAGACAGTGATATTAAACGTATATTTTTATTGAACATGATGCAAATAAAATTACATTTTAAGTGCCAAATATGTTTGTCAACAACATATAGTTTAGAAGTCTAGGATCTTTAAGCTTTAAAAAGCATCTTCCCTGGATTTCTCTTTTGTTTCCATGGTAATATTTTAAACAAACAAATCCCCCAGAAATAACATAGATATAAAGTATATACAAGTATAATTCAAATGTCTCTGGTCTCTTAAGACTATGAGATAGCTTGGTTCTGAAATGCTTAAATGTGTTTATGTTTTCAGTGTTTATAATTGTTTAAATTTATAATTGTTTAAATTGGTAAAATTGATTTTAAAAATATTGTTATTCTCATCTCAGAAAAAAAAGCAAACAAGCCTTGTATAAAAGGAAAAACAGGTCCAAATGATATCACAGCTTGCCTTGCACACCTCTGACTTGGGTTCTATCTCCAGACCCTATATAGTTCCGAACTCTCCCGGAGTGATCTTTGAGCTCAAACTCAGGAGTAAGCCCTAGAGCCCTACTGGGTTTTGCTAAATAAAACAGCATTTTGTTTTTCGCACAAAAGGGAAAGCATGTCTATAAACCAAAAATAATATGAGGGTTCTGAAAAAAAAAATCAACATAGTTCTAACTTCAGGCAGGTCATAACCTTCTTGAGCCTTAGTTCTATAAATGGAAATAACGTGTGCATCACACAGTCCTGGAGTGGTTTGCCTTTCTGATTGTACTGCAGTGGTGCTAAGTTTTGTTAGTGTGTTTCCTAAACAGGTGGCATAGAATGGAAATAATTATAATTTATATGTAATAAATTACATGTTAACCATAGAAAACTAACAAAATTATTAGAAGTTAAAAACAAATAGTAGCTGCAGGACTGGGATGGTGGATTAGGAATGTGTAACTGCACACGACTCTGAGATGCTATATCAGGAATACTATTAAAAAATTATGATCATCTGCTTTAAATCTCCTGAGGATTAAAAAAAAGTGCACAGGGCTGTCTGTGGGGAAAGGTTTGAAAGCAGCAGCATGAGGAATTCCAGAGTTCCCTCTGTACTGGCTGGAGGCAAAGCTTCTGATCATATTACTCTATCCTGATTTTTTTGGCTTAAATAAGTTTACAAATACCTATTTCTTCTAGGTTAATACTTTTATAGCTCAAAATATTAAAAATATATATCCAAATAGAAGAGCTAGGCAGCGTTAGGCCATCTGTTAGACTTTGATGCCATTTAAAATTTGGTGTAATATGGTGGTGAATGTTGATTATATAATAGTTCATTTCATATTTAATATTTCTTTAAAAATACTTGCTGCTTTATTTTTAGCATCAGAACAGAAATAAAGAAAACACTAAAAATAATTAGTGAACCTTCATAAAGGGGAGTGTATTTTCCTTTTAATTGTCTTTCCAAGAGAATATGACTGAAAATCAAGGTAATAAACTACAACTGGCTCTTTTAAGAAAGGATGTACTAGGCATAGATATTAAGATCTATGGCTTATAGGCATAATTCTATAATGGTGTTAGAGCACAGCTCAGAGTTTAGAGAGCCTCACAGCTGGTACCCAGGAAGCAACCCTCAGCAGATTAACTACTGAAAAAGATGCCAAAATGGAGCTGGCTACCATGTGCAAGCCAGATTTATGCTCAGTCAAGCCACTTCCTTTGCTAAACTGCAGGACGTTTTAAGTCATCAGGAATATTACTTGTGCATGAATATTAAATGATTCCAATGATAAAATGGTGGCATAATATGTCTTTAAACATAGGATTTTTTTCTCAAATGACAAAATGGAATTGTTCATTCTATCATAAAACAAAGAATAATGGTACAGGACACCCTCATCTTGTTCAGAAATTTGAACATATATATATATGTATATATGATTGAAGCATAGATTGGAGGGAGCAAGAATGTATTTATAGGAGCACTGTGTGTAATTGCTGAGCCTTGGGTAGCAGGTGGTCTGAGAAATGCAGAGAAACTAGGATATAGAATTCAGCAATAATTTTTATTTAAGATTAAAAAATTTAAGGAAAGAATAAGAGGTGTCTATAAATGGCTAACACATTGTTCTAATGGAGAAAGCTAAGTTTCTTTTCATCTTACTCAAGGTAATAAGCAGAAATATATATTAAAAATTCAATTACATTATTCATTATTGGTTAATATTTTTGATTAAATGATGTTCATGATATAGAGATACATTATTTAATGCATTTTACAATCTTTTTAGTTATATATGGTATTTTCAGTGCAAAAGATTGAAATATTTAAGAATAATTTTACATACTCTATATATATTAAATATAAACAGAATCACCTAAAATATAGCTTTTCGATAGACCAAATCCTCATTCAAAATGAATTTCTGCATTATAAAGGAATTTTTGTATTGATTGTAATCTTGCTGCATGGTACACTATTTCCCTAATAATATTCTGTTGTCTTTATTATTTTTAAGTTGTTAATGGATCCTTAAGTTTTTCTCTCCTTATTCACAATTGAACCTTGTATTTAAAAGGCAGTTTGTAAGCTATTATTTAGTACATTCCTTCAGCAAAGAAAACTTAGTAAGCATATTGTGTGAGACTACAGGGGCTTTATAGCTATTTTGAAGTATATTTTTAGTAGAATAAAAATGCTGTAGGTAATTAGTGTTAAATTGAATAACCATTTACTACAACAGTTAAAACATTATTTTAGAATGACTAAAAGCTAGCATTTTGTTTTGCTATATATAAATGAACAATTTGAGCAACAATCGATTTTACTTATTTTATTGCATTCAGTGAGTCTTTTTGTTATATAAATTCTTGAGCAGCTAGATATATAGAAAATAAATTGAAATGAAACAACACATCTCTGAAGAAACCACATATTGCCATTCATTGCAAAGCTATTACTTTGCCCTATGATTACTCTATAAATGAAGAAATAAAATAAAGAAGCAATTTAATACAGTCAATGTATAATCATTCTAAAATTACTTACCCATGCATGTGAAAAATACAATAGCAAGAGAGTCTTGCCTCAAAAAATTGATACTAGAACTAGACCTACTGATGGGCTCCTGGAATTAAAAGATTATGACTAAAGGAACTTTAAAAAAATGTCTTTTGCCTGGACACACTACTGTTACAGATTTTATGTTTCTTAACAACCTCCTCTTGCATATTTTCAGGTGATCATACAAATCAAACTGCAGGTCTTATGTATATGCATGTATATGTATGTACATGTATATATATATGTGTGTGTGTGCCCAAATATGTCTTGATACGTCTATTTTTTGATAAGTTACTTTTTGCTACATAATCTGTGTTCTGCTAAAGATTTGTTCTGGTCCTTTAATTTTTTTTCTTGGTTAAATCTCTGGTTCTTTAACAAATGTCAAGGTCTATATATGCTATGTTTTGATAAGTAATTTAATATGTAAAATGCTTTGAATAACTCTCCTGGTATGTATAAAAAAAAGTACTTCATTAAAGCAGGTCAAAATAGAAATTCCTTAATATACAGTATACGTCATTGGATTTTCATTGATACACCCACCACTATGTGTACGGATATAGAAATTATTTTAAAGTCCTTCCCATATTGTATTGCTTAACAGCAGATACAGAATACGTACAGCATGGAGCAAAAAAATCTAGCATTTTAATGAAAGTGACCATAACAAATTTTTAGCAGCAAAGCGTTTACATCAATTTAAGTGCTGTAAATGAGTCAAGTTTGAGGTTGAGCTAGATATTACAGTGTGCAAATAAGAATCTCTTTTTAAGGCTATGTCCAACCTTGTGGAATAAAGATAATTTACATAGATTGACTACAACTTCATGTAGAACTTTCAAACCCTAAATCAAGTATGAAAGTAAAATAACAGCTTACATATATCATTTACATTTCTTCAATGGAAATAGTGATTTTTGTTTGTTTTAAAAATATTTTAAAACTTTTCAGTAAACAGAAGTGTTTCCCATTATTATTTAAAATTACCTTTTTGTACTTGCAATCCCAATTGGATGTGGCATTTACAGTTATTTTTCTTACCCAATATTAAAGCGATAATTAAAAATATGATTTACATTTGACAATCATAAAAATGAACAGTATTTATTATTTGTTGCTGAAATCACCATTTGTTACTTACTTTTTAAAAATTAAGATATGACTCATAATTTTTTTCTGTGCACATATTTTCATTCTGCTTTCTTTTTCCTATGAGCATAAATTCTAATGCAAATATAGAGTGAAAAATTTTATTTTAATAAATATTATATAAGATTTTGGTAGTCTGCCTATTTTCTGATCTTTTATAATACAAACCACATATATATACATATATATTTATATATGGTTTAGAATCTCTGAGGTCTTTTTATAACATGCAGGATTTTTTCCAGGTTTTTATTCTTAACATATACTGTGTTCCCTTCTTCTTAAAGATAATATGTGGTAGTGTTTGCATGGATAAGAATGTGGTACTTAAATTACTGTATTGCTTCTATATATTTTTGATACCTATATTAATATTGTAAACATCATTTTTGTTTTATAAAAAAACATTTTCTAAATTATTTTTAGCAGTTAATTCTGAATTTGTGCATGTAAATATTTTCAGAGCTAGATTTTCCTTCTGCAACATGGCCCCTTCAACTTATTGAAACTCTTCTTTAATATCTTTGTCAGAGAACTCTGATTATTGTTGTTTCTTGCTTTTCAAAAACAAGTAGTATATATTTAATATTTACATTTCTAAATTGATGAGGTTATGATAGGCATAATTTATCAAAGAGTTCAGAGAGAAATGGAATAATCTATAAGCTATCTATATACCTTTCTACAGCTAGTTCTAAAAATCATATAAGCCCTAATACTTTTATGATTTTGAGAAATATGCATTTGCAACATTCCCATTTTTAAATGTTCTCCTCAAGAGACTATTAATTTACAACCATGTGTTCATAAATCTAGCA